GAAATATGCCAGAGAGGTAATCATTTTGTCCTCCACAGGCTCCTGTGCCGCAGTAGTTTGGCTCTGAGATGTAATTACTACAAACGGAGGGAGCTTTTGGAGTGTGTAATTAGTTCAGGTATGCAAGACCAGGGTTTCTTTATTAACTTCTCCACGCTCGCTTGAACCGCTATCAGACAGATGCAATCTGACCTTAAAATGGACAGATCCTCTAGAGCAGAGAGTTATTGAAGCAGCTAATTCATTTAGCTCACATATCCTATTGCTCCATGGTTTTTTGAAAACGACAGGATTTGTATGGCCTCAGGCGATTGCCACAGTTCAAGGGAAAATTATATTTATTTCCTCATAAAGCTGGGTTTTGTTTACAAGTTTGTTTAGACAGCACAGGCCAACCTGATATTGTTTGCTGCCTGGCCGGAAACAGTGGGTGAATGAACACTATGTTTAGGGCTTCTAAGCAGGGTAACAATGGGAGCTGACACACAATGCTACGGGTCGTGAGGAGAGGCCATTGTCGTGTCAGACAACGACGACAGACCTCCTGGACTTCTCACGGGTCACATCGACGTGTGTGTTTTGCTTTCTGGTGTTGAATTCTGTGGCATTAGATACCTGTAGACTATGGTATCCAGTCATGACATGTACATTATGCTGATAATATTTTATTCGAAAATGAATTGTCTGGAGACCAATGCTCCATGTTGGAATGCAGCTCACATTGTTAGATGCCTCCAATCTAATCTTTAATTTTTTTTATATGGCCTTTATACATAGTTTTGCATAAGAGTATGCGGATGAGAATTTGCCTTCCAAATTCTTAGCTGAAGTGCCGAAGAGCAGTTCACATAGATTTCAACCACAAATCCCCATGCAAGACACTTCCTTTGTATAGTTTAAACTCGACTTGCCGTTATAGTAAAAGTGCTACAATAACTATTGTACAATAGCCTATGAAGATCCCTCTGATTTGAGTAACTGAGCCAATGAGACTCACCACTTTGTTAACCTTCTGTTCAGGATATTCTCTGATTGATGTGTCTGCGGCGAACATGCAAAGAACGTCGAATAATGTGTCTTTGAGAGTTTTAGGCCAGTGATTCTCCCTTCGCTGAAGGTTTTCTTTATCAACAGCAGTCACATCAGTAGACTGAACCAAGCTCTAGCTTTCAAACGGAGACGAACAAAAAGTATTGTATGTAGACTGTTTGGGTATGGTGACAAACGTGTTCTGCAGGATGTTATCATTTGCATGACAATGTCAGTAGTGTTATGACTTTGAACATAGGCAATGTTCCTCATGACCCTCTGAGTTTGTTACACAGGTGACTCGTTGCTGCCTGTGATCAGAGAATAATGTATTTGTGCATGATAAAGCAGAACTGATCATGCTAATGCTAATAAGGTAATCCACTTTGCCTCTGTGACTGAGCCATCTGTAACACCCTCTTCAGTTCAAGTCAAAAGTCAAAGACTTTTTTGGGGAAAAAATGTAATGTACAACTCACAATGTCTCTTTTCTGGCACTTCTCTATGGGTCTTATTCAGGGACAGCGTTTAAAATTGCGGTTAGAATTTCCCTCCAACTGGCCCCAGAGAGCATGACCTGTCCAGCTGGCTGGGCTGGGCCTGATGGGAAAGAGAGCTATTGGCTCTGTCAGCATCATATTAGAATGAACTATGTGTGAAGTAATCATTTTTTAGAATGGCATTTTATACATTACACCATCAGATATGTGTATTGGAGAATACAGCAGATGATAATCTCATTCAATTTACATGCACATTTACATTTTAGTCATCTAGCAGATGCTCTTATCCAGAGCAAATTAAAGTAGTGAGTGCATAAATGTTTGTACTTCTAATCCGGCTGTCTTTATTCAAATCTATACTGAACAAAAATATAAACGCAACATGCAATAATTTCAACGATTTTACTGAGTTACAGTTCACATAGAGAAATCTGATAGAAATAAATGTATTTGGCCCTAATCTATGGATTTCATATGACTGGGCAGGGACGCATAGGGACGCATAGGCCCACCCACTTGGGAGCCAGGCCCACCCACTGGGGAGCCAGGCCCAGCCAATCAAAATGAGTTTTTCCCCACAAAAGGGCTTTAGTACAGCCAGAAATACTCCTCAGTTTCATCAGCTGTCTGGGTGACTGGTCTCAGACGATCCTGCAGGTGAAGAAGAAGCCGGATGTGGAGGTCCTGGGCTGGCATGGTTACACGTGGTCTGCGGTTGTGAGGCCAGTTGGACGTACTGCCAAATTCTCGAAAAAGACATTGGAGGCGACTTATGGTAGAGAAATGAACATTAAATTATCTGGCAACAGCTCTGGGGGACATTCCTGCAGTCACCATGCCAACTGCACGCTCCCTCAAAACTTGACACATCTGTGGCATTGTGTTGTGTGACAAAACTGCACATTTTAAAGTGGCCTTTTATTGTCCTCAGCACAATGTGCACCTGTGTAATGATCATGCTGTTTAATCAGTTTCTTAATATGCCACACCTGTCAGGTGGATGGATTATCTTGGCAAAGGAGAAATGCTCACTAAAAGGGATGTAAACAAATTTGTTCACAACATTTGAGAGAAATAAGCTTTTTGTGCGTATGGAAAAATTCTGGGATCTTTTATTTCAGCTCATGAAACATGGGACCAACACTTTACATTTAGCGTTTATATTTTTTGTTCAGTATATTTTATTTCCTGATAGGGAACTTGATGTGTGGTGACAGATTGGTACATACAAAACACATAACTACATAGAAGACAGAAACATGAACAAAACTTGTACTGTATGTGAAGAGGAGTTGATTTAATAGTTCAGACAAACTCATTACACAAGAGAGTTATGTTATGATGTGTTTGTTAAGAAGGTTTGTCACCTAGGAATTCCTCACACACTCTTTCCTAACCCTATCTAATCCAGCAGGCCTGATGCTTACTCACTCTCAAAATAATCAGATCCACCAACGGTGCTGTTTGGGAGGGAGTGTGTTGAAGTTTAAAGGGCTTGCGTCACTCTCAGTAGTGGTGGTCTGAGATGGGAGTTTTCCTAAGGAAAAGGGACATCCTGAAACTGTATGGCCTCTCTCTCTCTCTTTTCCTCCCATCTGGTTTCCATCAGAGGTGCCAAGACCGGAGCTACTCCCAGCAGGACACAATAGAATACCTCCATGCAATTAATGGTTTGTGGGTCTTTACTCTGCCTGAGGGGTTTTCTTAACACAACTCATTCTCTCATTAGCATTTAAAAGTTATTTTCTTTAGGTGTTTCATTGTGTTATCGCGCTACATGTTACATTTCCAATTCCACAGTACATTGGGTTCACTGACAGACAGTAAATGGCCAATATCAGTCAGAATCAGGAGGGCAGCAATATGAAACCGGACCGGTTTTGTATCATTTTGAGGCCTAATGGATGTTTTCCTATATCTTCTGGGCTAGTTATGAGACCTGGGATGACTCCGCAGAGGTACGTACCACCTCAGAGAAATCAATGACGAAGCAAACGAGGAAATGAGAAGACAAGGGGCCTGCTTTTTAAGCTCATGAGCTTCATTACTATTTTAGTTTCAAGTCTTGGAGCCTGTCTGGGTCTCAGAAGTCTCATGCTGACTCACTGATGCATCACAGATACCCATTATCTTCTGATCAGTTCAGCTCAAGAACATGTACTAAGAATATAACTAATATATTGAATCTCTATTGGCTCACTCTAACATACGTATTTGTATCAATAGACTTAATATACTTTTTACTATAGGTGTAGGCTATGGATGGCTTGACAGAAGGAACTAGAACAGTTGAGCAACATATGCTGCTACAGTATGGCACTGATAGGGTTGTCAATATTCCCATAGTTGAGCTAAGAGGAATAGTATGTAGGTCTGTGGCTGTGTCTCAACACACAGCTTTTCTTGTAAGAATCACAACATTTAATGAGTGACACATGTTACTCAGAGTATCCCATTATTGTCTGGGAGGGGGGGGGGGGGGGGGGGGGGGCTGAGCTCAAAGTAAACCACCATTCAGACTGAGCTCACAGTAAACCACCATTCAGACCAGAGGAGGCTGGTGGGAGGAGTTATAGGAGGACAGGCTCATTGTAATGTCTGGAATGGAATCAATGGAACGTGGTTTCCATGTGTTTGAATATGTTGAACTCTGTTCCATTCCAGCCATTACAATGAGCCTGTCCTCCTATAACTCCTTCCACCAGCCTCCTCTGATTCAGACTGCACTCACAGTTAACAACCATTCAGACTGAGCTCATGTAAACCGTGTTGACGTAGCGTCCTCTTGTGGTGTAAACATAGAACTGCTGTCCGGCCAATGACCATACAAGGATGTATCCATGTAAACACAAGCAGGAAGGGTATGGAAAGTCATAACATACACCCGAATGGTAGAGCTGTGCCAATTCAGCTACCAAGTCATCCCTGTTACAGTATTGATGACAAAGTGGGAGTATTTTGTAGCATTTTGACAGTTGTGGCTGGTGCTGTGTAGGTGGTTTGTGTGTACTTGTTGATTCATAAGCAGTCTTTAATGCAGTCTGCTCTATATATCTTGTTGACTTCCTGACCACAATGACCTTAGATGATCCAAGATCAACAGACTCTGTGGTAGCAGTGTAGAATGTGCTCCCAAAAATCCCCATCTCTTCCCACCTCTATCACCATTTATTTCCAAACTGGGAAACATTAACAATTATTTGTATCTTGTTACAGAAAAATCGTATTTTGAGGATGAGTCCCGTGTAGCTCAGTTGGTAGAGCATGGCGCTTGCAACGCCAGGGTTGTGGGTTCGATTTCCACTGGAGACCAGTATGAAAAATGTATGCACTCACTAACTGTAAGTCGCTCTGGATAAGAGCATCTGCTAAATGACTAAAATGTAAAATGTAATGATGTAGGCCTACTTATAAATCTCACAATGTTTGTATAGAGTATTTGAATCACAAACACTCAGACAATACGATTTGCACTCATTATTTTATTCATGAAAATGTGTCATTAAAATTAGTAGTAAAAACATTCACAGTCCATAAAATGCATTAGCTCCTACTCTAGATTTTGTTTCCTTGACTGCCACCTATTGGTGGATCTGCAACACAACAATCCAGTTTAATTTGCTAGAATCAATATTACTGTAACTTCCCCAAGTAACATTTATATCCAGAGAGAGATGCAATTACAGTATTCTACAGTTTATCAGGGTGGTTCCTATCCCACCCTTCAATATTACAACAAGTAATGTGAATATTATGCTACCATGAAGCAAGACCCTGTATATCTGCATTAGTTCGATGCATAAGCCAACCATTTTCCCATTCCCTATAAATATTCTACCTACTTCAGCCTTCAGACATGCATTTTACATAACATTTTCCAGCATCCTTTAAGATGATTTACAAATAACAATGACAAGCAGGTGTCCAGCACAAATGACCTATGGGCTACGTTTCCCATAAAATAACAGTAGTTCTCCACCAGTGGATCAGCAGTTGAGAAAAGAGTTTGTCCGAACAATCTGAATGACCTTCCTTGCACTGTAGCTGTATTCAAATTGTGTATGTTCATGGAAGAAATGCAAATATCCTGCAAGGAGAAAGAACGGGTGAATTTGTTAGAGAGAGCTATTTATTATATTTTCAAAGCAAACGCAACGGAAACTACATAATACAAATAATATTAAAATTAGTGATTTTGATATACCATATTGATATACGGCAGCATCCACCTCCTCTGCCATTCCAGGGAAATCCATCTCAATGGATCTTGGGAAGCCGCTGTCCATTGTGTTAGTCTTCTCATCATAACTGTCAATAAGACACAACCAAGACTATAACCTATAATGAACACAGTTATGTTTGCAGATGAGATCTCTCAACCAGACCAGGCCAGACCAGACCAGACCAGACAAGACCAGACCAGTCCAGACCAAGCCAGACCAGACCAGTCCAGACCAAGCCAGACCAGTCCAGACCAGACTAGACCAAGCCAGACTAGACCAAGCCAGACCAGTCCAGACCAGACCAGTCCAGACTAGACCATACCGTCCTACCTCCAGTAATGCTCCTCAGAGAACAGAAGGGTCTTGCCGGTGTCTGGGATGTACACAGCAGCATCCACCGTCCTCACGGTCTTGGGGAGTCCCAGTTTATGGATGTATTTGGGGTAGCCCTCCACCAGGTTATAGCCATTCAGGGCCCACATTCTGATACCTGGAAAAATATGAAAATTAGTCAACTAAATTAACCTATGCCACTTGCACCGACATCAACTTTATTAGATATCTACATTATGTAAATGAGCAAAGCAGAACTGTAATTGCATAATCAGAACGACAGAGGACTATGTCAGAACAGTGTTGCCAGCATTAAACTCACCACTGAATATGAAGACCATGTCTTTCTCAGGGTACTCATAGGCAGCATCCACTTTGTTGGGGAGGGAGGGCCAGGTGGATTTGATCAGGGTTTGCTCAGGCTCTGCAAACTGGGGATGGAGACGCCAGTAGAACCTGCCATCAAATTGAATACATCAACACACATTCATTTTGTCTATTGTAAGCTTATATTTTGTGCAGAAATGTTTTTTTTCACGAATGGACATACTCCCTACCTGTCTTTGAAGATGATTGTTTCTCCTCTGAGCTCAGTAACAGCATCAAAACTCAACATGGGGTCACATTTGTTTGGGGCATCTGGCTTGGGCTTCACTTTCCTGTGACTGGGGTTCGGGCCTATAAGATTGAACCACATAATGAACATTTTACAGTATGACACCAGTGGGTGGAATTAAATGAATTATTTCATTTTCGGTCTCTACTTCTGTTTGGGTTAATAAGTGGAACACTGACCATATAGAGCTTGAATGCCAGCGATATCATCTTCAGACAGTGGGTAACCCTGGCCATAGGAGTAGACTGGGTACATCAGAGCCCCAGGATCAGTAGAATGGGACAAGCCAAGTGCATGGCCAAACTCATGGGTGGCCACCAGGAATAGGTTGTAGGCTACAGAGGAAGCAATATGTTAGTAAATAATCAGTGATTAAATGTCATACATATTCCCTGATCCACCACATAAATACATAAATAAATGCATAAATACCCACATAAATAAATACTGCTTTACTCATCTCATATGTATATACTGTATTCTATTCTATTGTATTTTAGTCAATGCCACCCCGACATTGCTCGTCCTAATATTTATATATTTCTTTATTCCATTATTTTACTTTTAGATTTGTGTATTGTTGAGAATTGTTAGATACTACTGCACTGTTGGAGCTAGGAACACAAGCATTTCGCTACACCCGCAATAACATCTCCTAAATATGTGTATGTGACCAATAAAATTTGATTTGAATTTATTGGAAATGTACCAAATATTTACCTTCTGAGTCTTTTGACCAATGTTCATCTTCATCAAAGTGTGTGTCTCCTCCAATGTCTCTGCCAGGGGGATAGGCATGGGCTAAGAGACCGTCAGGGCCGTCAAAGGGGTTGAAGTCTCCATGTTCTAAAGACAAGGAAGGGGCAGGGAAAAAAATTAGGTTTGAGGATGGTTTCAGTAAGTGTTGCCAGCAAGCCACCATTCAGTCAATTTCTTCTATGATGGAGTCTTGCACAAATCTAAACAATGATAACTGAATCTTAAACAAAACTACAGTAAGATGATCAAATTAATCAAGATATTCTCCAGAATAGAGAAATGGGTCTACCTTTTGTACCAAATGCTATCATGATGTCAGCCTTCCCCTCATGCAGTTTCTTGAAGGTCAGAGGAGTGACGCCAGCCCAGATGTTGAAGGCATTTCGGATAGCTCTATCCACATCAGCCTTATTCAGATCAGGAGTATAATTCACTATTCTGAAGGACCATTCAAGGAAGAGGAAACATATCTTAATTCAAGAGAGACTTGACAAGTTTTATCCAAATAAATGAAAGCTGATCATGTCCATTGAATCCAAGGTCATGTGGTGTATGTGGATTAAATTAACATTATTACACCAATACCATAAATAATTAACAAATTAGGGTTATGAGACACTATATGACTGTTTGAGAAGCCTCACCTGAAGGTCAATTTGGTGTTCTGCCATTTTAGGTGTCGGGGGAAGTGATTGTATTCCCCCACGTCAGGGACACCACACCTGGCCATGCTCATCAGCTCCAGGGTGTTAGCGTCCAGGCTCCCCGTCACCTGGAGGTTGAAGAAGGACTGCATCTCCCTGATCTTAGCCTGCATGGCGTCTGAAGACCTGTGGGTCTTTGTTCCCTGAAGTCCAGCTCGAAGGTTGTAGAATCTGCGGAGGTATTTCTGAAGAGGAAAGTAATAACATAAGTTAACACCTTCATGATATGTAGCTGTTTATCATAGTACATGGAATTTATGTAATAAAAAAAGTGGTAATTTAAGGAGCAAATTCACAAATGAATGTGTTCAACTTGAGGGGTTATAGTATTTCAACATCTTCTGGCATTTTGTCTGCAACTAACAATTTTATTTAAATAAAACAATGATATATTTGTTTATACTATAAATGATTGCATTCATACTTATTTAGAGTATGAGGATAACTGTAAAATCAATAATACCAATATTCAATATTCAGTGAACCAAACAGACATTGATAAACAGAAGGACATCAGACCTACAGCTTTAATTTGCTTACCTCGGCTAATAGCCAATTATCAGTCTCCTCCGGCGATGACAGAGGCATAGCAAATGACTGAGCAACCACCACAAGGAGCAGTAAACCTATGATTTCCATCTTGTCTTGTCTTGGTGGCGTCCTGCACAGTGACTGACTGGGGTCCAGGAGCCAAGACTGTATTTATACTGTACGTTTGAGTGTTTTTTTCAAGGGTGTGTGATTAATGTAAAAGTACCTAGCCACTTCCTCCTCAAAGACTGCTGGTAGGTCAGAAAATGGAGTGCTTGTGGTTCAGTAAACTGCTTTGAACATAGCTGAATATGCAGTGATGTCACATTTTTTAGCCAAGTGTTCATAACCAATGTTTTTTAGAGTCAATGATAACATATGGCAAGTGACCAGTTCTTGTAACTTTTGTGATACTATTTTATGTTCTTCAAAAGAGAAATAGATCTAAATGTATATCTATAATTTCAAAAATTATCTTTGGCTCTACAGAAGAAAGTGAATTAAAGATTTGATCTTTAGATGGTAACGTACATACATCTCGATGAGTACACATAAAACTTTCAGACACCCATGACTGTGATACACTTCCAAGTTATTTTGAGCAAGACAGAGAATGACAGTTGGTGGCCATAGAGAAATCAGTTAAAGGGATAATCCACTCAAAATACAACCCAACCTAATTTTCCACGTGCTGGTACCTTGGCAGAACAGGATGTACGTACCTAGAACAGGATATGTATTTCACATTTGGTCATTAATAGTAGTTTATATATTACATTATATTGGATAAGGCCAGCCTTTGTTTTGTAGGAGCAGAGTTTAAGTACTGGCGGCAGGGCAGGTTAAGGCATGCCTTGTCACTTGTCTGCTGCCTCTGTGTGAGTGTGTGTGTGTCTGTGTGTGTCACCACTGGTGGTCATCAGTCTGCTATAACAATAGAATTCCTGAATCCAGACTGAGTCAAAAGGAGTATTTTATGGCAATTCACAAATAACATGACAATTAAGTAGCCTTACAACTAGCATGCAAAGAACAACCTTACCTGCAATTAACTCTACGTTTGGGACAGAGTTCATTGGGGTTAAAAGCTTGCCAAACATACAAAGTGCACCTCTTGGAGATGCTGTTAAAGTCTAATATTGGTATTTATGAACATTGGCTGACGCTATTATACCTATTTCACTGTTTTATCGCAGATACATATGGCTATGTTGAGAGAGAGCAATAGCTAAACTGTTTTAGACTGTTGGCAACACAGCCACTGAGCTGAGTCATATTGAGGGGAAGTTGGCTGGGGGATTTTTGCAACTAACTAAGATGGTCACCCACATTCACAAACACAAATAACAAGCACATACAGTTGAAGTTGGAGGTTTACATACACTTAGGTTGGAGTCATTAAAACTTGTTTTTCAACCACTCCACAAATCAAAATATATTTGAGATTTTAGATTATTCAAAGTAGCCACCCTTTGCCTTGATGACAGCTTTGCACACTCTTGGCATTCTCTCAACCAGCTTCATGAGGAATGCTTTTCTAACAGTCTTGAAGGAGTTCCCACATATGCTGAGCACTTGTTGCCTGCTTTTCCTTAACTTTGCAGTCCAACTCATCCCAAACCATCTCAGTTGGGTTGAGGTTGGGTGATTGTGGAGGCCAGGTCATCTGATGCAGCACTTCATCACTCTCCTTGGTCAAATAGCCCTTACACAGCCTGGAGGTGTGTTTTGGGTCATTGTCCTGTTGAAGAACAAATGATAGTCCCACTAAACACCATCCCATCTGGTTTGTGCGTCGCTGCAGAATGCTGTGGTACCCATACTGGTTAAGTGTGCCTTGAATTCTAAATAAATCACAGACAGTGTCACCAGCAAAGCACCATCACACCTCCTCCTCCATGCTTCACGGTGGGAACCACACATGCGGAGATCATCCGTTCACCTACTCTGCGTCTCACAAAGACATGGCGGTTGGAACCAAAAATCTCAAATTTGGACTCAACAGACCAAAGGACAGATTTCCACCGGTCTAATGTCCATTGCTCATGTTTCTTATCCAAAGCATGTCTCTTCTACTTATTGGTGTCCTTTAGTAGTGGTTTCTTTGCAGCAATTCGACAATGAAGGCCTGTTTCACGCATTCACCTCTGTGTCTGTTACTTGAACTCTGTGAAGCATTTATTTGGGCTGCAATTTCTGAGGTGAAGTTAACTCTAATGAACTTATCCTCTGCAGCAGAGGTAACTCTGGGTCTTCCTTTCCTGTGGCGGTCCTCGTGAGAGCCAGTTTCATCATAGTGCTTGATGGTTTTTGTGACTGCACTTGAAGAAACTTTCAAAGTTCTTGAAATTTTCCAGATTGACTGACTTCATGTCTTAAAAAGTAATGATGGACTGTTGTTTCTCTTTGCTTATTTGAGCTGTTCTTGCCATTTGGACTTGGTCTTTTACCAAGAAGGAAATAAATTCCACAAATTAACTTTTAACAAGGCACACCTGTTAATTGAAATGCATTCCAGGTGACTACCTCATGAAGCTTGTTGAGAGAATGCCAAGAGTGTGCAAAGCTGTCATCGAGGCAAAGGGTGGCTACTTTGAAGAATCTCAAATATAAAATATATTTTGATTTGTTTAACACTTTTTTGGTTACTACATGGTTCCATGTGTTTTTTTTTCATAGTTTTGATGTCTTCACTATTATTCTACAATGTAGAAAATAGTTTAAAAAATAAAGAAAAACCCTGGAATGAGTAGGTGTGTCCAAACATTTGACTGGTACTGTATATATAAAAAATAAAAAATAAACTTCCTCAAAAAAGCAGCTATCAGGAAAATCATTGCTAGACAAGTGTGAGTGTTAGTGCAAGAAGGACAAGTACAACAGTAGGTTGTTATTTTAAGGGGGGGTCAACCAAGATCTCCTTCTTCATCCTCTCCTCTTTTAGCCCAGGACAGAGGTACGGTGGAGACAGTTTCCACTCCTTCTCTGCCTCCATCCCCCTCCATCTTCTCTAAATCCCCTCACTCCAGATCCAAGCGGAGTAAGACTGTGTACTGGTTGGAGTCTGGTGAGGAGGTAGGAGAGGAGGGAGAGGGGGAGGATGAGGAGATGGAGGATAGGTGGAGGCGGAACACCTGTCCCTGGGGGTCTCTCCCAGACCCTCGTACTCCACCCGCATCATCATCATCAGCTGCAGCAGCAGCAGCTGCAGGAGGAGAGGAGGTAGTACCCTGAGAACATTCACACACCACACACAGGGAAACCCACTAAAGCTAAACATATACATGTGTTTCTGACACACACACAGAAACACAAATACAATTCAGATAGAAATGTACTGTGTAGAACATACTGTTTTGTGTAGATCGCAGCCCAGCTCTCACCTTTCCTGTAGTCCAGGTCTGTCTGTCTGTCTGTCTGTCTTGTAGGTTTCTGTGGAGGCATGTTGAAGAAGGTGAGGACATACAAGGTGATGACACACCCCAGATATAGACAGTACATATGCATGTACACTGAGTGTACAAAACATTATGAACAAAACATAATGCTTTTTCCATGACATTGACTGACCAATTGAAAGCTATGATCCGTTATAGTTGTCACTTGTTAATGGTGAATGGGCAAGACAAAATATTTAAGTGCCTTTGAACGGGGTATTGTAGTAGGTGCCGGGCGCAACGGTTTGTGTCAAGAACTGCAATGCTGCTGGGTTTTTCACACTCAACAGTTTCCTGTGTGTATCAATGCTGTGGGAAGCATTGACGCCTTGATAAGTTCCTTTCCTGAGGATGGCTCACCCTTCACAGTCTTGGGGGATTTCAACCTCCCCACGTCTACATTTGACTCATTTCTCTCTGCCTCCTTCTTTTCACTCCTCTCCTCTTTTGACCTCACCCTCTCACCATCCCCCCCCACTCACAAGGCAGGCAATACGCTTGACTTCATCTTTACTAGATGTTGCTCTTCTACTAATCTCACTGCAACTCCCCTCCATGTCTCCGACCACTACTTTGTATCCTTTTCTCTCTCGCTCTCCTCCAACACTACTCACTCTGCCCCTACACAGATGGTAACGCGCCGCCGCAACCTTCGCTCTCTCTCTCCCACTACTCTCTCCTCTTCCATCCTATCATCTCTTCCCTCTGCTCAATCCTTCTCCCTCCAATCTCCTGATTCTGCCTCCTCAACCCTCCTCTCCTCCCTTTCTGCATCCTTTGACTCCCTGTGTCCCCTATCCTCCCGGCCGGCTCGGTCCTCCCCTCCAGCTCTGTGGCTTGATGACTCATTGCGAGCTCACAGAACAGAGCTCCGGGCAGCTGAGCGGAAATGGAAGAAAACTAAACTCCCTGCCGACCTGGCATCTTTTCACTCCCTCCTCTCTACATTTTCTTCATCTGTTTCTGCTGCTAAGGCCACTTTCTACCACTCTAAATTCCAAGCATCTGCCTCTAACCCTAGGAAGCTCTTGCCACATTCTCCTCACTGCTGAATCCTCCCCCCCCCCCCCCCCTCTCTGTGGATGACTTTGTCAACCACTTTGAAAAGAAGGTTGACGACATCCGATCCTCGTTTGTTAAGTCTAATGACACTGCTGGTCCTGCTCACACTGCCCTACCCTATGCTTTGACTTCTTTCTCCCCTCTCTCTCCAGATAAAATCTTGCGACTAGTGACTGCAGGCCGCCCAACAACCTGCCCGCTTGACCCCATCCCCTCCTCTCTTCTCCAGACCATCAACGGTGACCTTCTCCCCTACCTCACCTCGCTGATCAACTCATCCTTGACCGCTGGCCATGTCCCTTCCGTCTTCAAGAGAGCGAGAGTTGCACCCCTTCTCAAAAAACCAACACTCGATCCCACTGATGTCAACAACTACAGACCAGTATCCCTTCTTTCTTTTCTTTCCAAAACTATTGAGCGTGCCGTCTTTAGCCAACTCTCTTGCTATCTCTCTCAGAATGACCTTCTTGATCCAAACCAGTCAGGTTTCAGGACTGGTCATTCAACTGAGACTGCTCTTCTCTGTGTCACGGAGGCTCTCCGCACTGCTAAAGCTAACTCTCTCTCCTCTGCTCTTGTCCTTCTAGACCTGTCTGCTGCCTTTGATACAGTGAACCATCAGATCCTCCTCTCCACCCTCTCCGAGCTGGGCATCTCCGGCGCGGCTCACTCCTGGATTGCGTCCTACCTGACCGGTCGCTCCTACCAAGTGGCGTGGCGAGAAGCTGTCTCCGCACCACGTGCTCTCACCACTGGTGTCCCCCAGGGCTCAGTTCTAGGCCCTCTCCTTTTCTCCCTATACACCAAGTCACTTGGCTCTGTCATATCCTCACATGGCCTCTCCTATCATTGCTACGCTGACGATACACAACTAATCTTCTCCTTTCCCCCTTCTGATAACCAGGTGGCGAATCGCATCTCTGCATGTCTGGCCGACATATCAGTATGGATGACGGATCACCACCTCAAGCTGAACCCTGGCAAGACGGAGCTGCTCTTCCTCCCGGGGAAGGACTGCCCGTTCCATGATCTCGCCATCACGGTTGACAACTCCGTTGTGTCCTCCTCCCAGAGTGCGAAGAGCCTTGGCGTGACCCTGGACAACACCCTGTCGTTCTCCGCCAACATCAAGGCGGTGACCCGATCCTGCAGGTTCATGCTCTACAACATTCGGAGAGTACGACCCTGCCTTACACAGGAAGCGGCACAGGTCCTAATCCAGGCACTTGTCATCTCCCGTCTGGATTACTGCAACTCGCTGTTGGCTGGGCTCCCTGCCTGTGCCATTAAACCCCTACAACTCATCCAGAATGCCGCAGCCCGTCTGGTGTTCAACCTTCCCAAGTTCTCTCACGTCACCCCCCTCCTCCGCACACTCCACTGGCTTCCAGTTGAAGCTCGCATCCGTTACAAGACCATGGTGCTTGCCTATGGAGCAGTGAGGGGAACGGCACCTCCGTACCTTCAGGCTCTGATCAGTCCCTACACCCAGGCGAGGGCATTGCGTTCATCCACCTCTGGCCTGCTGGCTCCCCTTCCTCTGCGGAAGCATAGTTCCCGCTCAGCCCAGTCAAAGCTGTTCGCTGCTCTGGCACCCCAATGGTGGAACAAGCTCCCTCACGACGCCAGGACAGCGAAGTCACTCACCACCTTCCGGAGACATTTGAAACCCCACCTCTTTAAGGAACACCTGGGATAGGATAAAGTAATCCTTCTAAGTCGCTCTGGATAAGAGCGTCTGCTAAATGACTAAAATGTAAAAATGTAAGCATTGGCGTCAACATAGGCCAGCATCCAATATTAGGAAGGTGTTCTTAATGTTTTGTACACTCAAAAGTACACAGGGCTCTGATACACACAAACATTAATATCTGGTGTGTGTCACACTCTGATTTGTTTCACCTGTCTTTGTGATTGTCTCCACCCCCCTTCAGGTGTTGCCCATCTTCCCAATTATCCCCAGTGTATTTATACCTGTGTTCTCTGTTTGTTTTGTTTCATCAAGCCTACCAGCGGTTTTCCCCTTGCTCCTGTCTTTCTGAAGTTCCTGTTTTCTAGTTTTCCCGGTTTTGACCATTCTGCCTGCCCTGACCCTGAGCCTGCCTGCCGTTCTGTACCTTGTCACACCACCCTGGATTATTGACCTCTGCCTGCCCTGACCCTGAGACTGCCTGCCATTCTGTACCTTTTGGACTCTGATCTGGATTGCTGACCTCTGCCTGCCCTTGACCTGTCGTTTGCCTGCCCCCTGTTTTTGTAATAAACTTTTGTTACTTCGACACTGTCTGCTCCTGGGTCATCCCTAAAACGTGATAGTGTCTGTGTGTTTGTGTACCTGTGTTCTAGGTTTCTGTGGAGGCTGGAGACCAGGATGTTGATGATAAAGAATGTGATCTGTCGTATGTCCTGCCAGATCCAGAACCCTAATACACCCAGCCTGACACACACAGAGACAGACAGACAGACACAGAAAGAGAGACAAACAGACAGAGACAGACAGAGGAATCATGTCAGATTATGGGAGCTTCCGATCTTCGTGTGTTCATGTGTGCGTGTTACCTATGCGCGTTTCCAAGGAGGAAGCTGAGTGACAGGGTGAAGGGGAGGAGCAGGTATGACATCACACGCAGTGGGGTGTGGGTCCACAGCAACCCCATGATGTTGCATAGCAACGCTGAAACACCAATCACAGCCTTGTAACATGACACCTCTTTATTAAGATGAAAATAACAGTCCACAGTCTGTCAAGTATTCTGAAAATAAAAATCAAATCATCACTTGATTTGCATGATGTCACTCAGTGTGCGTGTGTACCGTACCTGTGTGTATCCAGGTGGGCAGGGCTAGGTACATGACCAGCTCTGGGGTTGCCAGATTCCAGGGTAGATCTCCTCCTTCAAGAGAGTAGTTTCTCTGATTGCCTCTGGACTCTGTCAGGGAGGACCACTCCTCTACCTCCTCTTCCTCCTCCTCTTCCTCCTTCGTTTGCTCCTCTCTCATCATCTTTTCCTGCCTCCTCTCTATTCTTTCCTCCTCTTCTTCCTGCTTTTCTTGCCACTCATTTTCCTCCTCCCTCACTCCTCCCAGTCTGTCTCCAGATCTGTTCGTCCGTCAGGAGGAGAGGAGTGAGGCTCTGATGGGGTGTTCAGAAGAGGCAGGACCAGGTCTGGTAGAGACAGGAGAGAGAGCAAGGAGAGAGATATTATTATTATTATTATTATCTATTTAACTTGCTTTGGCAATGTAAACATATGTTTCCCATGCCAGTAAAGCCCTTTGAATTGAATTGAGAGAGAGTGACACACACAAAACTACATCACCTATTGGGAAACAAAAAGCAAAATGCATTGCTATCTGGCCCTAAATTGACAGAACACCATGGCAAAATATTTGACCATGGTTACTGATCAAAAACTTGACAAAGTGCAGACTTAGTGAGCACAGCCTTGCCATTGAGAAGGGTAGACACAGGAAAACCTGGCTCCATGTAGCGTAAAGGCTATGCAGTCACTGCATGCTGCAGAACTTGAGACAGAGCTGAATTTTATGACAAAATGTCAAAGATATAAAGCAATCAGAGAGTTGAATTTCCCCAACTTTGAAATCATTGAAGGTTTCCAAGACCTCTCTGATGAGAAGGCTACTTGTCCTGTTGGGGGAGGATGCAGGGAGCTGTGAGTTGGCAGCACACTACATTGCTGCCTGACATAAAATGAGGGACAGTGTCTGACAGACCAACCAACCTGCACGTCTTCGTGTTATTTACTTATTTTCTTACTGATTTCCATTCCTAATACAACCCCATCCCCTACCCTTGATTTTTGTTCTTACTGATTTCCATTCCTAATACAACCCCATCCCCTACCCTTGATTATTGTTCTTACTGATTTCCATTCCTAATACAACCCCGTCCCCTACCCTTGATTATTGTTCTTACTGATTTCCATTTCTAATACAACCCCATCCCCTACCCTTGATTGTTGTTCTTACTGATTGTCCTGTCTGTGACAATCTTGATCTTTTTTTTGTGATGATATTTATATTGTTCATGAATAATTACATTTCCAAAGTACGCTTTGGCAATATGTACATTGTTATGTCATGCCAATAAAGCAATTGAAATTGAGAGAGAGAGAGAGAGACAAACAAAGAGAGACAGAGAGAGACAGAGAGAGACAGAGAGAGACAGAGGTGGGCAGAGAGACAGAGAGACAGAGGTGGGCAGAGAGACAGAGAGAGACAGAGGTGGGCAGAGAGACAGAGAGAGACAGAGGTGGGCAGAGAAAGAGAGAGACAGAGGTGGGCAGAGAGACAGAGAGAGACAGAGGTGGGCAGAGAAAGAGAGAGACAGAGACACAGAGAGAGAGGATAGAAATTGGATTTTGAATCACTAGCTATATGTCATAAAGAGACTCATCTATACAGAGAGCACATGACATGACCCACCATTGGTTTGTAGAAAGTGAAGGCCGTCGCTGTATCCACTGTAGTAGGCCTTGTCCAGAGCCTGAGGAGAGGTCAGATGTCATAGACACAAACACCCTGGACTATCATTGCTCCACATCCAACATACCTCACTTTACTGTTGAAATATAAAAATATGAGCTACCAAACCCATTCGCAGGGTTGGTTAACTCTTGAGGTCCCACTCATCTCCACAAATATTGGTAAATCCATCCTTAAGTTTTAACGCACCACAGATATGGAATACCTTACTAAACAAATTACACCTGCATTCCCTGCTGCTGATAGGGCAGTTTAAAACTGTTGTTAAATGAGTTAACTGAAGTGTGCCATTGTTTCAATTGATTATTAAAACTTGTTGTAATAACCTGAAGTAATGTATTTATAGCTGTCTTGTAGTTGATATTTTTGTTGTTGTTGTATTGATATATTTTTTGTCCTCAGGGCACCATTATAAATGAGACACTGACCAGGTTTACATGCGCACAGTATTCCGGATAATAGATTAAAGTCTTATTAGGGATAAGCTGGTTACATGCACCTTTGATATCCCACTCAGGAGTATCCACGAATAAACAGAATATGGGTTAAATTGAATAGTAACTGAAATCTGGACACTGACTGTAGGCCTCTCACATGTAGCGTAATATAATATTAACTCCTGCAGAATTATGTGTTCCTTGCAGTAAAATGATACCACACATTTTATTTTGTCTCCGGAACAGGAGTGGAGAAATATGATTTGTTTCTTTCAGCATCTCTTGAGAAAATGTGAATGTGCGTTTAAGTGTTATCTTTGACACTTATGCGAGCAGACAGTATTTCAACCACATAAAATATGCACCTAAGAAGAAATGAAGTCTTATCAGAAACATGTTTCATCGTTTTATCAGCTTTTTATTTCCTTAAAACTGGTCAAACTGATGACATTTAGGCATTTTTGCAAAGGAACAATCTTTCCACTGTTTGAGTTATTGCGTTTTCTCCCCGGTCCCTAAACGAACCAGACAATTGTATCAGTGTTAACTAGATTACTAATGCATTCATTCTATCGATGTAAGACATTATTCTGGTGAGCACTACTTTATTTAGTCTTCTAGGGCAACAAGTTATGACAGAAGAGAAGCTGCATGTATCTAACTATACATGACAAATGGCCTACCAAAAGTCGGAAATTATAATATGGCCTACCAAATGTCGGAAATTAAAAGCAGAAACGTATCTAAATTAGGGGTGAAAGTAGCCCAAGCCAGTAGGCTATACCATCCAATGCGGAGTATCAGCAAAGTAAATTATTATGGAATTATTATGGTGCATCGAACTGTGCAGGTAACCTACTTTTTTAAGTGATTTGTTTGACAATCACATGAAAACATCACATAGCTTTTTCTGACTATTGTAAACAGGATATGATGTTTATATGCATAAACTCAAAAACAGAATACTTGAGTATCCTGAATAATAACGGAATATTGGTGTGCATGTAAACAGTCACTGGTCTCAATTGGGTTCCCCTGAATTACAGTTTTTCCCAAAAGTTTGCACCCATAGAGATCCTATTACATTTCTAGAGGGGCCATGTCATAAACCCTCAAAGTTCCATAATGGGACGAGAATGGCAGCCATGTTGGTCAGGGAGAAATCCAAAACCAGTCTATTTTGAATTAATGGCAGTAGAGGTATAGGTGATGCATTTCCTGCTTCTACTTATGCAGGAAAATAAAAGGCATGTGATGCAACAGAAATTGTGTAATTTAATTATAGTCAACCTAAAATATTGTCATATATTGGGCAAAAAGGGTCAATGTCAAGGGATATCTTTATATATTTCCGGATATATGACATTTTATTAGATATAAGGAGTAGAAAACAGATGAGAAAACGAACTGGAACAAGCTAAGTAGCTACGTTGCTAGTTAGCTACTGTAGCTAGCTAAGTTAGTTAGCATATTAACCAGAAATACAAAATACGCCTTTACATTTTAATATATTAGTTATCACCTTGAGGCTTTTTTAATGTGTATTTTGTATTTCTGGTTAATAAGCTAACTAGCTTAGCTAGCTACAGTAGCTAACTAGCAACTTAACTAACTGGAACAAGCTTTCTCGTCATGAATGAAGCCGGTAGAGTAGCTACCTTCTGGTATGGTTTTGTCGAATGACAATATTTTCTTGCAATATCGACACAATTTTGATTCATGCATTGGCAGTTTGGCGTGGATCACAGACCAACACTTTCACCACGTTGGGTCTGGACTGCGAGGCACCGCTGCTGACAACCCAATCTGCACCCATTGCATGAGGGTGTGCAAATTTTATTTTCTGTTGTATTCCATCCCCAAGGCTACCAGTTAGCGCTTTTAACTTGCGGTTTGCACCCGCCTTTATGCAGAGGGAATACAAAACGTATAGCTAGTGTCTAAAAGGATGATATGGATTTAATATTTGTCAAATTATTGAGCATGACCTCAAAACTATACTGAACAATAATATAAATGCAACAATTTCAAAGATTTTACTGAGTTACAGTTCATAATCTATGGATTTCACATGACTGGGAATACAGATATATATCTGTTGTTCACAGATACCTTTAAAAAAAAAGTAGGGGTGTGGATCAGAAAACCAGTCAGTATCTGGTGAGTCCACCATTTGCCTCATGTAGCTTGACACATCTCCTTTGCAGAGAGTTGCTCAGGCTGTTGATTGTGGCCTGTGGAATGTTGACCCACTCCTCTTCAATTGCTGTGCGCAGTTTCTGGATATTGGCGGGAATTGGAACACGCTGTCATACACGTCGATCCAGAGCATCCAAAACATGCTCAATGGGTGTCATGTTTGGTGAGTATGCAGGCCATGGAAGAACTGGGACATTTTCAGCTTCCAGGAATTGTGTACCGATCCTTGCGACATGGGGCCATGCTATATCATGCTGAAACATGAGTTGATGGCAGCGGATGGACCACAGGATCTCGTCATGGTACCTCTGTGCATTCAAATTGCCATCGATAAAATGCAATTGTGTTCGTTGTCCGTAGTTAATGCCTGCCTATACCATAATCCCACCACCACCATTGGGCACTCTGTTCACAACGTTGACATCAACAAACCGCTCGCCCACACGACGCCAGACACGTGGTCTGCGGCTGTGAGGCCGGTTGGACGTACTGCCAAATTCTCTAAAACAACACTGGAGGCAGTTTATGGTAGAGAAATGAACATGAAAGGAACAACCCTGGTGGACATACCTGCAGTCCGCATGCCAATTGCACTCTCCCTCAAAACTTGACACATCTGTGGCATTGTGTTGTGTGACAAAACTGTACATTTCAGAGTGGCCATTATTTTCCCCAGCACAAGGTGCATCTGTGTAATGATCAGTTTAATCAGCTTTTTGATATGCCACACCTGTCAGGTGGATGGATTATCTTGGCAAAGGAGAAATGCTCACTAACAGGGATGTAAACAAATTTGTGCACAAAATCTGAGAGAAATAAGCTTTTTGTGCGCATGTGTCACGCCCTGATCGAGAGAACTCTCATTGGTTGGGTCAGGGTGTGAGTTTTCTGTTGGAGATCTATGTTAGTGTATTTCTTTGTGGTAGATCTAGCTTGTGTTTCTATGTTTGGCCGGGT